TGTTGAATGGCATCTGGCCACTGTCACTACTGCCGCTGCTAGTGCTGGACCGGCTGTCCCATGGGCTTCTTGGTGTAGACTCATAGCTGTAGTTAGATGATGATAATGGCGGCAATGGGTTGTTCTTGCCGCCATAACTGCTGTCCCATGGCTGCACGTGCCTCTCTGACATTCCACTCTGGCTGCTCCCTCCATCACATGACTCCGTTAGGCTTCCACTAGATTTCCATGTCCCTTGGCTGCTATATTTTTATTTACTCATTACTCAAATCATATTAGAAGCCAACTCACAAATACTACATAATGACAGAGGGTAGTTTTTTATTTCTTACTTGGAAAGATCTGAGGAAGAAAGGGTATCAGGAAAAGAGAGACAGAGGCTTGACTGAGATGACTGCCTGCTATAGGGGGTGGCAGCGGGTGCGGGAGACCGAGTTGCTGTTTTGACCGTCTGAACTCTCCCCCTTGAGGACACAGCGTACACTGTGCAGAAATCCGGGACTGATTTTCCCAAGTTGGTCGGGACATCCACGTTCTTAAATGCTCTGTCATCATAAGGTGTACAAATCAAGAATTAGAATGCCTGCAACAATTCGTAGCCTGATTTTCTTTTGGTTGAGTTTGGTTCCTTATAAATTAACAAATTACCTTGCCAAAACACTCCGGCTTGAAGCTCCGAGTACAATGGTGCTTATGGAACAGATACATATGTATTCAGATAGTGCATTTGTAACGTCAAGCCCCACTAGAACCACCTCCTTTGCTGTTACCTATACATATCCGGCCAGAAGCATACAAAAGCGCACTAATTAAGATACAACAACAATCCAGTAGAATCACACACGTAGACCTACCTTACCCCTATTTGAAAGTAGAGAGGTTGTTTCTAAAAGACCCCAGCTCGAACAACACAAAAAAGATGCAGAAGCTAAGATACATGATGAAATATTATATTCCTAACTATATGATTGGATCCAAATTTATATATTGGATCGATGGTTACTTACCCCCTTTCGAGCACAAGAACCACGAAAAGGCAGGAATAGACTTTGCACTTCCTCGTTTGTTGGTGGACGACCTTCTTTGATTACACAATCCGCTTTAAAAAAACAAACAATTAAATTTCCTTAATATGATGAAATCTTTCCTTCCTATGAAACTTACACTATGTTTCGTTCAAGGAATTTGGAAGGAAAAAAGAAAAGAAAATGACTTTCTTTCATTTTTTTTCCTCACCAAAATGGAAGGAATTTGGGTTTCTCTCATTTTAGTATATTTTCCCTTCTCATTTGCTTTTCCTTCGACTTTTCTTTTCTTTTCCTCTCTAATCAAGCATGAAAAATTGTTTTCCATTTCATTTTGTTTTCCTTTTCCTTTTCAGATTCCTTGAACCAAACACAGAGTTGGAGAAAAGTCAGATCAGAATACCTACATGTTTGAGTGTTGGGTTGGACGATAACATGGACGAGGATGAGGTTGCGGGATTTCTTCGGGATGTTCTCTATGGCCCACTTGACAGCGTGCTGGCTGTTCTTGTCTTTGTCTATGGCCACCGCGGTGATGACGGTCATTCCGTTCTCCTGTGGGGCCATCATCATCATCATCATCACAATCACGCCACCGTCTTCTGAAAATATTATATATTCTTGAGAATTTATACGTGGGTATGTGCGTTCGTATAAATCGTACACGGCCGACCCAAGGGATGGTAATTAATTACCGTCGGCGGCCTGTGATCCAAGACTGCCGCCGGCTGGTTGGAGGTGACGGTGGCGCAGCTACATACGTATGGGATAGATGGCGTTGAAGAGGTAGCTAGAGAACAGCCATGCATGCATGCATGGTGGGGAAATAAAGGTTATTAGAGAAGGAAGGGATGGGTGTACTTATTATTTACGGCCATACATATATTTGTTTGACTTTTGACCACTGGTCGTCGTGGCTCCCATCTTCCCTTTCCTTCTTTTTCTCGGCTCAAATTATATCTATCACGCACATCTGAATACTGTTTGGGCTTGCGTGTGCCTATTTCATCTTTATTTAAATAATTGTTTCAATAAATAAATGTTGCAATTACTCATGCCTTAGCTTATATCATTTGTTGGAATTATTTGTCCACATTTTCAATAAGTTACTCCGTATAAGACAATTGTCGACATCGCCAGGACGGTCCAGGCCGGATGTGACATATGCTGTTCATATTATTTCAGAATACAACTTACCCTCCGTCCTAAATTATTTGTCACATTTCTATTACCGAGGTAAAATATCAAATTTTTTCAATTCATTTTATTTACATATTGGTAAAAAAATAAAAAATAAAAATTACATATCAAAAAACTACATGAAAAGTTCTTCGAAATAAGAGGTGTCAAGAATATTTTATTTTATCAAATAACCAATAAAAACGTAGAAATAAACAAAAGTTCTTGCGACTATTGAAAAAGCAAATGTGGCAAATAATTTGGGACGGAGGTAGTAGAACATAAAAATGACAAGTAAAGAAATATAATGTCACACGTTGACGTTACACATTTCAATCAATCAAAAAGTAGCAAATGAGTAGAGTGACATGTAGTAGCAAATTATTATTTTTGCCACTTTTGACACTTTTTAATGTATTTTAATTATAAAAAAATTATTTTATTTATTTTTTTTATGAAATAGATGTACTTTTTTTGAAAAAATCTTCTTTCTTCTATCAAAGAAAATTTTAAAAAATTATTAAGGAAGATGATGTCTCTCGCACCTGCCATGCCTGGCATGGTAGAAAGCAAGTCCCACGCGAGACAAAAAAGAATTTGCATGGGCTGATGTGGCAGGTGTGGCAATGGAAACATCACGCCGCCATTGCCAATGCTCTTATGCAAAATATATACTGTCCCATGGAAGTCGCGTCAAGCGAGCTTACATGACACTCTTTTGGGATGCAACATTCCTCTCTTATGCATCTAATCTCTTTAGCAATTAGTAGTTAAGATGATCTTCATATAATTTCTAACCTTGTTTTCTTGAATGTACTAAGTATATTAAATTATTTACGATCCAATATTGGTAACAACATTATGAATTTATCATTTACTACATTGCATATCATACGTAAATAATAAATATATGGTAACCAAAGAAAAAGAAGAGTTACCCAAAAAGTTTCACAAAAAAAGGATGAGCCTAATCCCTAAGGGTCTCCTAAGATCTGGCCGAACGCTTACTAAAATAGGTAAATTGGACTTTGATCCGTAACCGAACCTGCAACATATATCACCTCCAGCTCAGTAGTCATGAATCAAACTTTGTCTTTGTCAACTGTGCAACTTAAGTGTTAGAGATTATACTTTCTTCATCCCATAATAGATTATAATTTTTTTTCTCTCATCTCTCGATAGTTTTTGTTTATTTGTACGTTTTCATTGATTAATTGATAAAACAAAATATTCTTTTCATCTCTAGTTTGTAAAACCTTTGACGTGATTTTTTAATAGGTTAGTTTTATTTTTATTTTTATACTAAATTTTGAATGAATGTTTAAAAAATACAAGATTTTGCCTTGTAATTTTGAAATGTAATCTGATGTAGGAAGAACGTAGTATATTTTTTTGTTCATTTCGAAGAAAAACTGTCTTTGAATCTGGATGAGATCTCATCTCACAACTTAAGTGTAAGAGATGATCATGTCAATGAAACGAATGATTTAAAATCAAAAATAGCAAAAACGTGCTCCAATGGGCCATCTAAAAAATAGAAAGTCTTCTATTTCTACTATCTTAACCTCCATATTTAATGATAGTGATACTATTCATCATCTATTTGTTAAAATTGCCTACTTCCACACAAAAAACAAATCTTCCACTTTTTCTTTGAATGTTTTTTTACAAAACCACCTTCAATTTTATTAAAATGTGCAGTGCTCGCATGAATAGCTCAACTGGTGTAAGGAGAAGATATGAAACTTGTTGATCTTTGGGTTGAATCCCGGCAGCGGCAGTGTGAGAGTTCTATTATTTGTAATAGGTCCTTGTGTGCGGCCTCTCTAAGAACCAGATTGAGCCTCCCTCACAATTCTGTCGGGCCGGAGAGTGGGGCATCGTGATGGGTGTTCCACCTTTCGATGAGCTTTGATGGTGTGAGGCTTAAGTCGTAATTGATGAAGAATCAAGTAAGAGTTTATAAGGCGGACTTTTAAATGTCCAGTGGGAAAAGTACCAGTAATTTTTTTACCTGCTTCAAATGAAGTTTTGGGCACAACTCACTAAAAATCTATAATTTATAACTGAAAAATCTTTTGAAGAAAGAGAGTATATATGTCTAAAAGTTCCATAAAATTATATTTCTTTTGACCACAAATTAAGTGTTATTAAAATTTGGTGCGTGAGTATATCAAAACTATATTTTTACAGGAACTCAATTTTTTAAAATTTACATTATAACTAAATCAGCACGGTTTTTTGACCTTGGTTTTCAATGTCATATTATGACACACGGCCTCTACGGTACTTCGTTGGTAATACTCTGTATTAATGGTTCTTATCTCATAACCTCCTGCCTCCTCTGCACCGCTCCCTAGCACCCTTTTACCCCCACACTAGATTGCCGATTTGACATTGACAAACATGAGGTTTAGGAGGGAGGATTAGGTGTAGAAATTCTCAATTTTATCAACGAAGCACCCTGGATGTCTCAAAATGCCTAGAATATTTAAGGTCACTCAAGGCCTAAGTCAAATATTCTTGCCGTAACTAAACATATTTTTTCACAACTTAGAATAAAGTGTTGCATAATTAGACAAAATAAAATAAAATGTGATAATTTTTTTGGAATAGAGAGAATATAAATGTGGTATATTTGGGAGGGGAGAAGTATATTAGGGACTTGGTAATTTGGGAGGAAGATGGATCTACAGTGGCAAAGCATTTTGGTGAGGAAGGTGGAATTGATTGGAGTTAGATAATTGAATGTATACGTGTCACACCTCCTTTGTACCCGATCGAGAAATGCGTACACCAAACACGCCTCTCTTTCTCTCTTCTCCATCAGAGACAACAACAAGACTCATTGAAGAAGAAAGAAAGAAAGAAAAGAAAAGAAAATGGAGGGAACATAAAAGCCGCCATTATTAGCCATACACTTCTAAATCTTTTATGCAATTTCGGGTTTTTGGTGGGTGAGCATCATCTCTTCCTTTCCAAACAACCCTAGATTTAATCTCTGCAAAAATTTTAAATTTATTGCGGATTATTGATTTTTAGATTAAATACCACATATTAGGCTCTTTTATACAGTTTCTACTGTTCTCTTTTACTGTAGCTGTAATTGTGTTTCTATTGCTGTTAATTGTTTCATTTTTGGGGAAAAAATTTAATTTTTATGCTTGATCTACGTTGAGGCTGGTAAGAAATTAAATGAAATGAGAAGAAAAAGAGTCATTTTTCAAGAGGTTGAGATGGGTTGCCTTAGATCCATGAAACCCAAGTTCCTGGTGGCAAAATGGAACAATCTTTTTAGGGGTTTCCATGTGATTAATGGGGTTTGGGATGTGAGGGCTGTTGGCAAAATGGAACAGTCTTTATGTTGTAAAAATGATCACGTTTTCTTCCCCATTTCTTGAAATTTTATGGATAAGCTTTGATTTTATTTTGTCCTTTTTCCCCACTCCTTTCCCTCTATTTAAGGGTTGGTGGTGGAGATGTGATTCTTATTTATGAAGGGAATTGGAGTTTCCCAGTCCGAGGTAAACGCTTCACATTTCCTTTTTTATCCGTCTCAAAATAAGGTTTCACTTTTTCTATAAAGAAAGAATTGTGTGGCCTAATCACGCAATTTTCCCTTTCATAATAACTGTGTTGGGTCAAATGTGAATCCTTATTTTGGGACTGCCCAAGTAGAGATCTCAAACTTAGCTTGTTGATTTTTTGTTTCCTTTTCAACTCTTAAAATTTAGGGGAATTAATGGAAGAGATGTCTCCAGCAGTATCCTTTACACTCCGGTTAAGTGACACAATCGTTGATAGCCCTACGGCAGGGATTACTAGGCTGAAAATTGTGGCTGATGGAAGCAGTTGCAATGGTGCGAAAGTTGATGGAACTAAATCAACTAATGAAATTAATAGTGAGGAGTTGACCTCACAGATAAGATTGCCAATTGCTGTTGAGTTTGAAGGCATTGATAGTGGCCAAATTGTTACTAAGGTTATAAGTGTGGAAAAACAAAGTTTTGAAGATATTTCTTCTTGTCCCCATTCGAATAAAGGAGGTGTGAAGAGTGTGTTTGAATTGGATTGTGTGCCAATATGGGGTTATGTGTCTGTACGTGGAAAGAGCCAAGAAATGGAAGATGCAACCATGGCAGCTCCATACTTTATGAGAATTCCTATTAAGATGTTCATTGGGGACCGTGTGATGGACGATGGGCTTAGCCAAACTTTGAGTCACCTAACTTCTCATTTTTTTGGAGTTTATGATGGTCATGGAGGATCCCAGGTTTGCTTCTTTTTATTGTGGCCTCGTTTGGTAGCCAAAGGCAGCTTATTCTGCGCATCCAAATGAGTAGATTTCTTTCTTATTCTTTTGATATAATGAGCTTTACCAAATGCTTTTCCTTTAAAAAACAACAGATTTTGCTGTAAATGGTTGTTTATGAGAAAAAAACCTTTAAGTACAAGAATATATTATTGATAAAATAACAAAAAATGATTACCTAATGGCCAAAGAACGTATTTTGTCTTCCACTATGGAACTGATAGTGTTGTATCTTTCAGGTTGCCAACTACTGCCGGGAACGAATCCATTTGGCTTTAGCTGAAGAGTTGAAATTTTCCAATGATGATTTAATGTGTGATAACAGTTCAAGGGATGTTAGGCAATTGCTGTGGGAGAGGGCATTCAGAAGCTGCTTTCTGAAGGTTGATGATGAAGTCGGAGGAAAAGTGGGCATGGAAGATGATGCGGCTGGAAAATCCGACCCCATTGCCCCTGAAACCGTGGGATCCACAGCTGTGGTTGCAGTGATTTCTTCTTCACATATTGTAGTTGCAAACTGCGGGGATTCAAGAGCTGTCCTTTATCGCGGTAAACAAGCCATGGCTTTGTCAATTGATCACAAAGTAAGAAACAGTGGCCTAAATATGGAGTAGTTAAGTATTTTAGAAAGTAAGAAGCCTTGGGATTAAAATGCTAATGATGATAGTGATGGTATTGTCTTTCAGCCAAATCGCCAAGACGAGTGTACAAGAATTGAAGCTTTAGGTGGCAAGGTTATACAGTGGAATGGACATCGCGTTTTCGGTGTTCTTGCAATGTCAAGGGCTATTGGTATGTAATAGAGTAGGATTATGAGATCCCAACATAAAACCCATTTTATTATTTCAAGAAAGGTTTGTCAAGACATTATTTTTGGTCAGGTGACAGATACTTGAAGCCATGGATCATACCAGAACCAGAAGTGACATTCGTCCCGAGAGCCAGAGATGACGAATGCCTTGTTTTGGCCAGCGACGGCCTGTGGGATGTGATGACAAACGAGGAGGCGTGTGAAGTGGCAAGAAAGAAGATCCTGGTTTGGCACAAGAAGAACGGGGGGCCGAAGCCTTCCGAGAGGGGCGCAGGGGTTGACCCTGCTGCACAAGCAGCAGCAGATTACCTCTCCATGCTTGCCCTCCAGAGGGGAAGCAGAGATAACATCTCTGTCATTGTTGTGGACTTGAAAGCTCAAAGGAAGTTCAAGACCAAATCTTAGTTGACCATTCATCATCTCTAATGCTGCACAATTCATGCAAGCCCATGAATTGCATCTTGTCATTATCATTTCATGATTTTTGCCCATTCTTTTTTCATGTGGGCTTGAAGTGTGTGCATGGCAATAGTGCTTAGTATTTGTATTTGTAGAAACCCTTACTAAAAAGGACTTCTTTTTCAGACTTTGGTATATATATGGTCATGTACAAATCTAATGCTCGGTGTGTTATGTGTTATAAGTATGATGCAGAAAAAGGGAGTTGAAAAATCAGTAAAATGTACTCTCTTTGTCTCATTTTAAATAATTTGTTTCGGCGTAAGATGTTTAAATGAAGTTGTTTTTTCATTCATTTTAAAATATGCACATTTAAAATTTACAAGTACTCAATTTAGTCCCTATAAGTGTACTCACGTGTCAATTTGGTCTCTGTGGGTTTGGTTAAGTTAAATTAGTTCTTGTAACTAAGAAATTAGTTTAAATTAGTCCTTTATGCAAAATGTTTTACTAAAATTGGGTCAGTAGCATTTTGCGTCCTTAACAGGAGTAACAAATAATTAAAACGCACCTCCTGTTATTAAGAATGTCAAAATGCACCCAAGTTTAAATTTTTTTCTTTACACCCTCTGTCTATTGTTTTACCAAAAAGCAAAAAATTTTCTAATATATAAATTTCCCTAGTTATGTTTTTTATGGTATTCTTAAAACAAATTTACTACAATATGATATTCTAAAAAATTTTATTAAATCAGGAGTCATATTTTTTATTTACATCCATGAAATGACTTCTCCATTCTTTTTTTTAGAAAATTCTGTTGGATTTGTTAAAGATCGAGCACTAGCAAATATTTAAAATAATTTTAAGTGCAATTTGGAAATTAGGATTTTATTTAAATTGTTGGTTTCAATTATTAAATTGGAACTTTCAATTTTAAATTATAAATGAGTGTGTATAAATTTATATTCCATAATTAAGCTTTATTATGAATTTAAGGAGAGTTTAGAAAATTCTTACGAAATATTTGCTTTGACTCAAACATATTCCCTCTGTCCGGAATTGTTTTCATCACATTCGATTTCTTTTGGTCAAAATTTGTAAAGTTTGATTCTGATTTGTAGAAAACATACATTGTACTATGATATAAATTTAATGTCAAAATATTCTTAATAAAACGTAATTTTAAAATATCAAATTTTTATAAAATGTATCTACGTACAAATATAGATATTAATGGTCAAAGAAAAATATTAGAGACCATGAAAAATTAAATAGGAAAACATTTTCGGACGGAGAGAATATCATTTGTTTTCATATAAATAAATTGGGTAAAGATCTTTTACTTTTTACTCCGTAATGAGCAACACCAAACAGACGGTGCACATTAAAAAAAATATTACAGAGTACATTTTTGAAGGTGCATTTTAATATTTTTGACAAGTAAAGGTGTATTATAGTATTTGTTACGAACTTCTCTCCTAACTTGAGTGGTAGAAAGTACACTCCCCAAGATTCACATGGAAGCTCACTAATGTTCAATAGCATTCAAAAATAATAACTATTTGTTACTTTTAGATGTTGCAAAGATAAAGAGACTAATTTGATACAACCAAATTACAAAGACCAAATTAAATTGTGAGTGCACTTAATGGCTTTAGTTATGGGGCGTTTCCCCGGTTCCCCCCACCATGACCAGCCCTTCACACCCCTCTTCCCACGCCATACCACGCGTGGAGGGGCATTGCCCCAATCCAATTGGTAGCCATCACTTTGTGATATTTCCCTCTTTTTTTTTTAATATTTTAACTAATCAAAATATAACATGCATTCACACCTCATCACTTTCCTTCACCAACCATAACACATTTTTATTACTCCATATCATACTATGTCACACACTATCAAGCCCCTTCATAACACATGGTCTTAGAGGGATAAAATGAGCATCAACTCCAAGATTAAACAGAATTTACTTCTTGCAAGTCTAGTAGAAAATGAACAAGTACTTATTGGGACTATTTATGTTCTGCAACACAAGTTGATTAATACCAACTCAAATATATTTAGAAAGATAACATGAATTAGACACTGCCCATCACATGCACGGCAACAATTGTCTGCTTAATAATATACTCCGTAAGTCACTAACATGACTGTCTGGATAGTTTTTTTAGAACAGGGAAAAACAAAACACCAAATAGTTTTTTTAGAACAGGGAAAAAACAAAACACAAAATATCTACCTTCTCTTTCTCTTCTTGTTTACTGTTGGGAATGTCAGAGGAACAGAAAGGGTGGCAAGATGACCTCTTTTCTCATCGCGAACAAATTTGCAACCCAGCAACTCAAAACGAGGCCTCAAATGTCCAGTTATTGTTCTAAGGTCTTTGGCTATGTCAGATGGATCAGAGCGGAAGTTATCAGCATATAGAGTGAGCACGAGCACATAACTGATGAGGAGATCAACTTTTTCATTAGGAAGTCTTTTGGATTCTGATACACAAAACATTGAAGAGAACCTCTGGAACAACATGGTAGGAATCCTGTGATTCTTGGCAGATTGAAAACCATCCATGGAGTGTTTGTCCTTGAACTTAACAAGGTGAGTGATATATGAAAGGATTCCAGCCAGCTTTCGCCGCTCCTGTTCATTCTGTAACATAATTCAGAAAGCAAAAACAGGTGAAATTGCAGGTTTACGTGTGAAAACTAATGCCTTTCTACAAAAAGGCTGTATTGGTTTATTAATCACAATCTGTCTTAGTAATACGTGATAATAGTTTACTTATGGGTCATAATAAGGTTGGAGTGGCAAATTTAATTTGGGATGCTTTGTGCACCAGGCTTCTCCCTTTTACCTAGATAAAGAGTATCATAATCCCAAAACCCGTAATATGGAGATATTACGACTACTCAAGAGAATGCCACCATATCATGGGATTGCAGTGAAATTGAACATTAAATGTTAATTCACCCTCCAATTTTGTGAAAACTGGTGTTCTAAAGAAAATGGTAATTTACCTCTAAGTTTTACACAGGCTATTCTGTAAATTACAAGAAGAAAAAACACCTTTTTAAATGGTTGGAGGGGCCGTTTATTATTATCCTTCACTTTATCTAATATTTCATGACATCTTTACTACCACTACTCAATGATCAAATTTAATCAGGGTCCCAAACACATGTACATATTAATATTATATATACAAACTTGAAAAGAAAATAATTCAACAGGCACATACAACGAGGTATTTAAGATAAGATGTGAACCAGCCTGCCACATTTTCCATTACCTTAATGTCGGCCAAAGTATGCATTCTGTTGCAAACGAAGCTTGGAAAAGCCTCAGGACTAATGCGTTCTCCAGCTTCTGAAAGGTCAAAGATATCTGTGAGGTAATCCCATTCTCCCTTCAAAATAATCTTATGCAGCGGATATGCTGTCTCAGGTGTAGCGGCAGCCAAATCATAAGGTGGGATATTCCGATCATTATCACCCGTGACAGCAACTTCTTCAAGTGCACCTTGATTTTCGAGTTTGCTCCCTTCAATCACATGCTCTCCACCAGCATCTGCACCTTGACGTAGTGTTTCAAGCTTCTTTTTCTGCGAATCAATTATTATAATTGTAAATCATTGTATTGTGAAATTACAATCCAGATTTATAACCTAATAAATTCCCCGCTTTTACATTCTAAACTCATTCAGATTAAGATGCAGGTATACCCTTCGTATAGTTGACTTGCTAAGAAACCGGTCCATATCTTTCTTTGGGGCTTCCTTTCCCTCTGCAGTCATTCCTAGCGTGGTCGGATTTTCTTCATCTATCTTAGGATCTAGTCTTATAATCTACAATTACATGATTAATTATTAACACACATAAGGAGACATATCACAGTTTAAAGTCAACCCTAGCAAAAAAACTAACAATTTTACCATGCTTCCAGCAATAGGAACGATCTTAAGCGTCTGAGTCTCCTTGTCCAGCACACCAATAGAGTAGTTACAGCCATGGGCCGCCGTAGCCTCGCCGGAATAATTTGTACCGACGAAGTTCACCTGCGACCCGCTCACGACGAGCTGAAACCTATTGGTCCTTTTTGTGTTTCTGAACAAACTAACCCTGCTTCCCGGTTCCCTGGTGTTCTCCGTCTCGTCGTCCTCCATACTTTCCTTCGACGGATTGAAACCAGACGGGAAGTATCCAACAATAGGAGGAATTTTTTGTGCGTTTTGACTCAAAATTTGAATCTTCACAGTCATTTTCTCGTTTTCCTTAGGGTTTTCTGATTTTGTGATATTCGCCTTGATACTGTCTGCTTCTCCATGGCCATGGTCCGATATGGGGTCTCCCGTATCCAGCTTCTTCATCACCTTCTTCCCCATGGTTCTGTGTGAAGTGGAGACTGGGAATTTTTGAATGTGGCCCTTACACCCTTACCTCTGATTTTTGAATCCGCCCCCCCCCCAATTTTTAATGTTCGGGTCGGGGCGGCCCCTAATAACAGCAAAATCAGGCACGTGTTTAGTATTTGAGCCTGCGGTTACTCCGAAATTCCGAATGATTTAAACAATATTTGTATTCTGGAGTAAAAATTACTAGTATATCACATTTTGTACTTCAAAGATATATACTAACATTTTATGCTAGTATAATGGTTTATAATGATACAAAATATTTGTGTAAATTTTTTTGATTACACTAGCATTTTATGTCAGTGTTAATCGTGGAAATACTGGTGCATCTTTTTGAGTTACATTTATTGGTGTACCTCTGGGCTCTAGCATGGTTGATATATTATTTCTATTACTCCGTGATTAAAAGATCTTGTTACCAAATTTATCTAATTTTCACTCATTTTAATTCTCTATACTCTCTATATACTTCCTATCATGATGAACAAAGTATTGAGTTCATAATGCGTTATAACTACGTAATAGTCTAGAACTCTAATTCTTCATAATATAATTAAGGTTAATTATCAAAGTACCAAAGTTGTAGGTAATGCTAATGGAAGGTTTTTAAAGGTGTTGAATGAATAATAAATTTTATGAAACATGTTATCACTAAAATTATGTATATTTTTCTTTTTCTTTTGATCCTAAAATTTTTTCTTGTTTAACCTTTTTAAGTACAAATTGTGAGAAAAAATATATTTGATTATAATATAAATTCAATATGTGAATTCATCTTAGTATATACTCGAAGTAGTTTTGTATACCAAGTTTTTATATAATTTATTTATTTAGATTGTGTTTAAAAGAAATTACACTAAATAAGACTAAAACATAAAGAAATTATATCAAAATAGACCTTTCATTTTTTTCTCCAAAATATGATTTCGCAATGTGGTAATGTGACGTTGTACATGTGCACATTACTATACTTTTTGGTAATGTACATTACCATGTTTGGTAATGTAAATGTATTTTAAGTCCTATTTCGGAAAATAAAAACATGAAAGTCGTATTTTGGTATATTAAATATTTCAGTCATACTTTGGTGTTTCTCTCTATGTTTAATTTGTAGTCACAAACTATCATTGTTTGACAAAAAAAAGAAATTTTTTAAGGACGGGATAGAATATTAAACAAGATGTGAACATAGAATTCAAGAAAGAAGATTATAAGATATTCCAAATAAGTTATTCTAAGTGAATTTCATTTCCGAATTGTAAATATTCTCTTTAGAAATGAATATTGATTCATAATCGTCTATAACTTTATAGATGATTATCGTCTATGACTCATAGTCGTTTTTAACTCATAAATTATAATCGTTTATGAATTTTAAACAGGGTCATCATATCAGTGTACAAATTTACAAATGATTGTAAATTCAAAAGTTATTTTCTCTTTTCCAGCATATTCATTGAGTTTGGTTTTTTCGAGTTAAATACGATTAACTTAAATCTGTAATTACTTTCAAATTGTAATATATTTTAGCATTAAAATAATTTGATTAAATTTATCTTATTAAAATTTTTTAAGATTATATTTTGTTATACTACAATAAAATACACATTGAGAGTAATTTAAACAAAGAAAAAGTTTAGTGAGTTCCCGAAACTCCTCAACAAGAGCCTAAGCCCTGGCTTTGGCCTGTTTTCTGAGAGCAAGCGAAGATGTTACGAAGGAAGCCCAGCAAGATTGAGGTCCAAATGGAGGACAAAGCAGAACTCGAAAAGGCCCCTAAGACAGCCGCCGCCGCCGCCGGTTGCACGTCGTCTTCAACCGCAGCAGGTGCCACCTCTCTCCTCGAGCACTTCGATCGGCCGGCGGTCGACCACCCTTCCAAATCCCAGCGCATCGGTCTCACATCCTGATTGCGTTGCACTATGGATGACGGAGATGTTATTGCCTAATTCAATACCTGGAGACGGTCGCTAAGGATCATCCTCTTCCAGATCCCTTCTAGATCTGAGCTTTCATGGAGAAAAAATGTCGCCTTTGTAAGTTAATTTGAACAATGTTTATCGGATTATATTGCAGCTTTTGATTTTCACCTATCATGTTAAAAATTTTGAATCTGATCTTGTATTCCTGTCCAGTGTTCATGTTCAGAACTCTGAATTTGATCTTGTTAGAACTGAGTGCTTATGATCTCTGCCTAATTTTCATGTCATGGAATGCTTCTTCTAGTGTATTCTTTTTTGAATGTTCATAGCCAAAGTCTATGCTTCTATCTGATCCAAGCTTTCTTAGTAAGTTGGAATGTTTGCCATTGATTTCTGAGACAACTTTTGGCTTCTGCTTCTTCCAAATCCGTTCTTGGAGTGTTTCCCAAAAGTTCCAAGACACACACACACACACACACACACAAAACAAAAAACAGAAGTGAAAAAACATTGTCTTGAGACTGTGCTGTTTCAGATGTTGAATTAGAAACTATGACAGTATCAATGTCCATTGCAATTTCTATTCCCCTAAAAAGAGATGATCCCCTCACTCCTTTTGTTAGGGATCAACCCGATGGCAACGCTTTCTTACTCTTTCTATAGACCAATTGAACTAACACTCTCTCTTATTCTTCACATGCTACAATACTTTACTAATCATCAGGCATTGTTGTATAGAAATGTCTGAAATGCACAATTTGCTTTCCGATTTCGAGCATGACATAAGGGCTGGGCAAAAGGGTATGATCTCTTCCCCGGTGAAGGAGAAGTTGTATTTATAGTTTAGGCTTCAACTAATTATGTGGGAACGTCCGGGGACTGTGCTCAATTTAGTACGAGTCGTCTATATCGGATGGTTTAAGCGCGGATCACACGTTTGGATTGAATTGATCAACCCAATTTGTTGAGGACAAATCTCATTTCTTACCTCAGTGTTTTCATTCAACTCTTCACATGCCAAAAAATTAAGGGAATCTTTTTATGCTATCCTTTTACTAATATTCCATGTACAATTCTACATGCATAGGACTCTTATATTCCCACCCTATAGTTTTAGTCATGCGACTTCATCAACCCTTATTTTAGAAAAAAAGGTGGAACGTCTACCCCGAGTGCCCTCACACCCCAGCCCAACAGAATTGTGAGGAGGGTAAATCATGATATAATCTCAATTTGGCCATTAGAAAGGTCGTCCGTGCCCGGTGCGCACAAGGAGCTATTACAAATAATAGATTCTTACACTACTGCTATTGGGATTCAATCTTAGGACCAAAAGATTTGACATCTTATCCTTGGATCAGTTGAGCTACCCATGCTGGCAATCTTTATTTTAGAAGGTTACAGATTAGATGGTGTATTTGTGATCAATCCTTAAAAAGTAGTAAAAGTTATAAGCGAGAAACAAAAATCACGTCATCTTAACTTTGATGGAAACCATGTTTAGAGACTACTAGACTCGTATCCGTGCGATGCACGGGCGGTAAAATAACTTATATTTAGTCTAGCTTTGCAATAAAATAAAATGAAAAAAAAGGATTGCAAATTTTATTTTTATTGCCCAAAAAAGGTATTGTACATCAAGGATTGTAGTCGGAATGCATTGTTATAAGTTTTGGAACACTTCTTTATAAACTACATAATTATAAACTAATTTCTCTTTACAATAAATTAAGGAAATATTGAATTTTCTATATTTATGATTTCGAATTGGATATAATACAAATGAAAATCGGATAAACGATTATTTAAACAGATGCATATTCCGATCAGAGTTTAAATGGATCGAATATTTTATATTAAAAAAGATGTAGAATTAAAATATAAAAATTACATATCTAAAATTATATCAAAAGATAAACAAAAGTAATGTGGACATGACTATATTGAATGAAATTTCAAAAACAAATAAAAAAGAAAGTGTTTGAAGTTTGACTGTGAGAATAGTACACATGCAATTTAATTTTAGTTTAGAGCTAAATTGTTTTCATATAATTCATCCATAGAATTTAACTTTTAAAATATATTTTTTATCTAATTAATATACAAAATATATTTTCATTTAATCATAAGTAAAATGTTGAAAATAGTTTACCGAAAAATTAAAACGGGACAAAAACTCATGAAGGGGCACAGTAATAGTCCTCAAGCATTAGCCCACTTATTCTCCCAACCCAACTTAATATACCAGACAACTTACTTTCCCGGCTCAATATCCATTAATATAAAACCTATCTTCCTAACCCTACCATTCACTTTCGCTCTTCCGCAGTTCCGCCGCTAAGATCCCCTTTCTCCTCCTTCGTCTTCGTCTTCTCTCTTTGTCGCAATCTCTCCATCCGTAACTATGTCTCTCCCTCTCTCTCTTATATTTTATTTTCTGATTATTAAACTATTTGATTTCCATGTGCACCGATTCATTTCGTTGATTCTATTGTTTTTTTTTGAAATTGTTTTTTTGGATGATCTTGGGGTCCGTTTTGATTTAATGTTTTTTCGTTAAGATGTGTTACAACACATCTTTAGATCATCCGATTTATATATATATAATTTTTAGAAATATATATACATATAATTCTCTAAGTTCTATTTCAAATTTTTCATTAAGATGTTTTAAAATGCATATTTAGATCATCAGATATATATATATATATATATATATATATATATATATATATATATATATATATATATTTGCGGTGATAAAAAATTAATATGCGTATACCATGTGTGTTATCATCTTCTAATTCAAACATCTTCTTAATTTAATATGCGTACACCATATGTGTTATATATATATATATATATATATATATATATATATATATATATATATATATATATATATATAA